TTTTTTTTTTTTTTTTGTTTTTTGGTTCTTCTTTCTTTGAAAAGATGATTAATTATTATCACACAATTTACAAGTTGAGGAAACACAAGTGATTTGGTTAGGTATTAATTAATAGTACTTGTAATTGAAATCTTGGGTGCGCCAAGAAATGCACTGAGGTCACTGCTTTGCTGTGGTTACTNNNAAAACAAAAATTAAAATTTCAGTCTTGAGTCCATTAGTTTGACCGAGTGTATACTTGTATTTTTGTTTGTGCCTGTGCACTGCAGCCTGTAGTAATGGTTATACTTATACATACACATCAGAGATTCACAATACCAATATTCGGAAATGCTACAAGTACATGATAAATGTACATGACACTCAGATGGATTGTGGTCCACTTGAATTTTTAATTTTGGTAGGTCTCAACTCTCAATCAATGTGTATGTTATAGACACCCTTACGTGTACAATATTATGTACATATAACATTAGTCTCAACCCCATCAATTTTAGTGTTTGTCGATAAGAAGGCACTAAGCATGCCAAACAGTGTATATCTACTTTAGTCAAAGATTAAAGATTTTAGTTTGAAATTATCTATCATGCCATTATTTTTATATGGGAAAAAGATAGAAAATTTGAAGTATTAATAGTATAAAATAAGAAAAAAGTAATTGTGTGCGAAGAACGTGTGTAATTCAGGAGCAGGTAAGTCGGTGACTGCTTGTGAAATAGAAATATATATTGAATTTCACACTCATTCATCTAGAAATTCTTCAATGGTGACCATCTAGAAGTTCTCTAAAATAATATTATCTTCTACATTAGATCTTTCATCATCATTATTATCATTATTTTTTTTCTAAATTTGAATTAATGGTGATCATGTCAAATTTTTAAGTAATTGGATCGTACGTGTGATGATGGCAACGGATCCAAAGTCCGTTTGAAGAAACCTTCCGGAAGCTGTGCTTCTCCCGTTGAAGCTCCATGTATCTTATCGTGGAGGTAGTCCGGGAGGAGCCGTGGGGCTTTGTTTTGGTCTCGATGGGGAGCTTCATGTTGATCGGAGGGAAGTGCATTTAGACGTGTTCACGCGCCGACCCGACTCGTCAATCCGCCCCGAAACCGTCTTTGAACAGCTCGGTTACGCCGTTTCATAAACCGGACCCCGCCGATTTAGAGTGAATTTTTTTGCCTTTTTGACCCGTCGGATTGCGCCGGTTCCAGATCTGGGTCGTATTTTTTATTTTTGTTTTTTTTAGACCAATGAACTGTCGGGTCTGTCCAGTTCTTGAACTAGCCCTTAGTTATAATTGGGCCGGTTCCGGCCCAATACTTGAGTCCCGCCGACCCGAACCTTGAACACGTCTAATTGCATTGGCATAATGTGTCATCCTGTCTACCAAATTGGAGTGTGATCGGAGGAAAGTGGACTAATTATGTGAATCAACACACAAACTGACCTATGTGCTTGTTATTTTTATTGTTTTTAGAGCATGATATTGCAATCTAATGTATAAATTCATTGAAATATAATTGTTTAATCATTAGACCTACTTAATTGTAGTGGTAATTTTTTTTTCTTTTTCTTTTTTCTTTTGGAAAAAGGTTATTATGTTCGAAACACTACACACATGAGCTTCTATTTTCCCATATTATTTTAATTTAATCCATTTTGGTACTCTCGTTTATTCGCTTTGATTCATTTGTTAAATTCTCTTAATCCCGTTTATTTTTATTTTTTAAATTCTAAAATGATACATGGGAAAGCACATGTTCTTGCTGAATGACTCACGTACGATTTTGGTGAAGCAACATCATTGACTTCCACTTTTGGCATTATTTAAACAACTTCTTACGCGTATGATCAGCATAGATGGGCTGAATGTGCATTCTCCGATTCGTTTCCAGCGAATACAGTTATTTTTGCACGATACATTCGGTATTTTTTGGGAGATAGCTGCGATTTCGATACAGAATCATTTTGTCGGAATTTATACGTTAGATCAACTATCCTCGACAGTTACATATCCTGTCAGAATAGTTCCACAACGGGATTGTAGCATTTCCTGTATTTTTTTAGCAACTAGGCCTCGTTTATGAAAATTAATGACCTATTTTGCCACCATTCCAAAGTTACCTAGTTTTTTTTTTTTTTTTTTTGGATAATTTTGACGTAGAAGTGGTTTCGGATTCAAATTGTGATAAAATGTTATGTGGAATTTAAATTGTGAAAAATTACATAAAATATGTATGAATCAATTATTAGTACACAATTCGTACGGTGCACGTGATTGATAAAAAAAATTATGTTGTATTCATTTTGAAATAAGTGTCTTTTTAAATTTTTTATTTAGAAATTTGATTTGACTACAATGTGATTCCATAATAGAATCATTTTTGTAAAATTTGATCATATATTTAAAAATCTATGTGAATAATAATAAGTATCAAGAACTTATATTGTTTCATTAATTAGAATGAATTTATTTTTGTAAAAACTATCTAAATATAAAAAATTAAGTGGTTGAGTAATTTATTCAACTATAAATAATTGAATGTTTCCTTTACGTCCAAGTTAATATTGACTCGTATGTTATAAATAGTTACTCAGTTGACTTTTAAATTTGAAACTCAAATTTAAACTATAAATAATAGATTTCGTATATATTGTTTTTCTATATATTAATCGTGAATTCATTTGTTTCTCATATTACATACTATAAACCAGTGTATCAACTTTTTGGCTAATTAAATATTCTTTAATATCATAAATGATAACATAATTAATGTAGTTATTTTTTCAGTATACACTATCTTCGAAATTTTTTTTCATATAAGACTTTTTTTAATACAATCAATCAAAAGATAATAACGAAAAAGTCTCTCCAGTTTAATTACATGATCTCCAAAATTTCCTCCATATATAGAGCAACTCATGGATATTTATTTTGGAGATTAATTAACCATGATCTCTCATTTGAAGAATCTGGTTGAATAAATCTGAAAATAATATGTCCCTAATTTATGAATAGTGGAATTTGGACAAACAAACATATTTAACCATTTTAAAACAAATATTATCACCATGTTTTAATTCAACACAATTAAGGTAAAGCCTAGTGTACAAAAAAATTATAAAATATATTACTTAAAGGTATGTTGACTTTAACATATTATCTAATAAAGTGGGAGAATGCTACCATCTCGTTACGAGATGGTTCCGTTTTGTTTTCTAGCCATAGATATACATGTAATCTAGCGATGGGTAGTTAATCTAACGCTTAAAAACACAACGGAACTATCCCGTAACGGGATGGTAGCATTCTCCAATAAAGTGAGTTATGAACTTAGGTATAAGTTGTTTACAGATTATCTTCAAATTTTAAAATCGTATAATTTTTAATATAACATGACCTGAGTGATAAATTGAGAGATAGTTGTAAAATTTCACCCAAATATAAAATTAAATGAATGAAAGTTTCAAATTAAAGTATATTCTAAATCTATATATATATACTAATAGAAAAAGTTCTAAAGAATTACCTTAAATAGTTAGTTTTTGTCATCATACGGTCAAAGTTGTTTTTTGTCAACTAACTTTTAAAAGCGTAAACACCATTATTTAATTTTGCCTATCAGTTACGGTCAAAGTTGTTTTTGTCAATTCACTTTTTCAAAAGCTCCAATCAGTTCACTACAACTCACTTTGAAGGTTGTTTTGTCTCCAATCAGTTAGAAATGGGAAGATTTATAAAAATAACAGAGACATAGTAATAGTATATGACGCGCAGTTGTTAAGCATATGGTGGATATATGTTTGTTTGGTGACGCCGAGGGTTGTATGGTTTTAAATAGAGGCAGAATATATAGGGAGATTCTACCGAACCATTCTTTAAAGGTTTGTGACGTAAAGGTTTGTGACGGTTAGATCAACTATCCACGACGGTTACATGATGAATGATTACAAATTCTGATAGAATGGTTCCGCAACGAGACTGTAGCATTTTCCAAATATATAATGGTTATCCAACTATTTTATTTAGAATAGAAACAGAGTAGGTGACGATTATCCCATGTAGTAAAGATACAATTTGATAGCAGAGTACATGACGGTGAAAGATACAATTTGGCAGATGAAATTCCCATCATATAACCAAAACTATCCATGTAGATTTGATTAGTGATGAATAACATATTTATAAAAGACATTTGATACCATTTTCAAAATTCCTGGAAGCAACATCATCCATGACATCCTTAATAAACTTCCCGACCGCCTCAAACGACGACCCGCCCTCTGCCACGGCCGCCCGGCCCTCGACTCCCAACTTCTCCATCCTAACCCTAACTACTTCGCGGCCGCCGGCCTCCATCATTCTAGCGATCGCCCTTCCTATCTCCTCCGCCCCCACCACCATATTAGCCCCCTTCCGGTACCCCAAATTCACCTCCACTGCCACCCCCAAATCCCTCGCCAGCTGGAACCCGTTCAGCGGCTGCTCGGCATACATTGGCCACGCCGCCATCGGCACGCCTCCCCATACGCTTTCGAGCGTGGAGTTCCACCCGCAATGCGACACAAAACCCCCCACCGTCCGGTGGGCCAGCACCTCCGCCTGCGGGGCCCACCCGATCACCCTCCCAAACCCTTCTGTCCTCCCGACGAAACCTTCCGGAAGGACCTCATTGAAATCCTCGTACTCGGTAGGCGTACCAGGGCCGGGCCCTACGACAACTGGAGGCGGCTTCCTTAGCGACCACAAAAAACGCCACCCGCCGTTCTCCAGGGCCCGAGCGATCTCCCCTGCCTGCACCCCGTCGAAGCTTCTCATGCTCCCGAAACAGAGGAACACCACCGACGAGTCTGGCTGCCGGTCGAGCCACTCCATGACCTCATCGTGCTTCGGGACCTCCCGGCCTTCGATGTGGAGCAACGGGCCGACCGGGTAGACCTGCGGGGCCCGCGCATCGCCCGAGAGGTAGTCCAACGCCTTCGGCTCAAGCGCGCGGAACGTGTTGACGATTATGCCCCTAGCCTGCCTCGCCCGCCGGACAATGTCCACGAAGGGGCCGCCGTCTTTCCCGAGCATAAAGGGCGGCAGCAGCTCGGTCGGGATGGGGAGCTCATAAGACGGGCACGGGATCTCGTCTCTCGAGTTCACGTACTCGGCTAGGTCTCGATTCTCGTTGTCGACGAGGCCCTGGAAATGCATGATGTGCCCGAGGACCGCGGCCCCGGACGTGAAGAACACGTAGGTCGGGACACCGAGCCCGCGGGCCACGTCGGCCATGCTCGTGCAGAAAATGTCGACGACGAAGCCCGCAAGCCGAGTGTTCAGGCCCGGGCCCCCGAACAGTTTGGCGGCCTCGTTTTGGACATGATCCTTGTGGCTCTCGATGAATTTGGAAGGGTGATAAGGACTTGATTGGGGCTCGGCCGGCGGGATGTTGACGAAGCGGATCCTGGGGCCGGACTCGAGAGTTTGGGATCCGGTTTTCGGGTCGAAAGGTGGCTTGATAACGAGGACGGTGGCCGAGAGGCGTTGGTCTCGGCCGATTAGAAGCTTCACCAGCTCGAGGGTTGACATAAGGTGTCCCCTGCCTGGGTAAGGAATGAAAACAAGCTCGGTTTTGGTTTCGCCCTCCATTTTTTTTTTTGTTTTTTTTTGGTTCTTCTTTCTTTGAAAAGATGATTAACTATTATCACACAATTTACAAGTTGATGAAAAACAAGTGATTTGGTTAGGTATTAATTAATAGTACTTGTAATTGAAATCTTGGGTGCGCCAAGAAATGCACTGAGGTCACTGCTTTGCTGTGGTTATTAAAAAAACAAAAATTAAAATATTAATTTGACCGAGTGTATATTTATATTTTAGGTTAATGGTTATGCTATACAAGCATATCAGAGATTCGCAAATCAATTTTAGTACTGTTTGTTACTAAGAAGGCTCTAATAAGCATGCCAGACAGTGTATATCTACTTTAGTCAAAGATTAAAGATTTAGTTTGAAAACATCTATCATGCCATTATATTTTTAATATGGGAAAAAAGATAGAAAATTTGAAGAACGTGTAATTCGATCAGGAGTAGGTAAGTCAGTGAGTTGTAAAATAGAAATATTGAATTTCAACTCATTCTTCTAGAAATTCTTCAATGGTGACCATCTAGAAGTTCTCCAAAATTTTATTATCTTCTACATCAGATCTTTCATTATTATTATTATTATTATTATTATTATTATTATTATTACTATTATTATTATTATTATTATTTTTAAATTTGAATTAATGGTGATGTCAAATTTTAAAGTAATAGGATCGTCCGTGTGATGATGGCAACGGGTCCAAAGTCCGTTGGAAGCCTTCCGGAAGCTGTTCTCGTCTGGTGGAAGCTCTATGAATCATGTTGGTATATCATTTGTCAGTAGTCACACATTGATTCAATAGGGTAAATGAATTTAGTTTATAAGTCTAGTGACTGCTCCTTCCATCAAAAATTGGTTTTGAATGGAACTTTACTATGGTGCATTTAAACACACTATTTTATAGTACGTTTCACATGTGAGGGACTGCACTCGTTTTGTCCAGTTTGACAAATGTGAATCTACGCACAAACTGACCTATGTGCATGCTTGTTATGATCAGCAATGGGCTGAATGTGCATTCTCCAATTCGTTTCCAGCGAATACGGTTATTTTTGCACCAAGCATTCGGTATTTTTTTTTTTACTGGGCCTACTCATTTATGAAAATTAATTAATGTCCTATTTTGTACCAAATTAACAGTAATGAAGTAAAAAAACTGGCTCTTAAATATTTTGTTGGCAATTCAATAACTAGGACAAAAACTGTAAGACAGTAGATGACATTTTACAAGTCCCTAAATTATTATTTTCCAGGTCAAATTTTTCCGGCTGCATGCTCGTGACTTATAATATTCAAACTTTTATAATATTCAAACTTTTAAAAACTTGCCCGCCAAGTTTTTCTTACAACAAAACCTTATACGTAATATTCAAACTTTTATAAATTAAAACCCCCCCTCCTAAGTTAATTTCCAAATCATATTAGCCATTTTTCCAGAAAAAAAAAAAATCGAATAAGAAAAAACTATGTCTCCCGATCAAAACGCAACCCTCGTCTTCATCCCGTTCCCCGTCCTGAGCCACCAGGCGGCCGCCGTCCAGCTGGCCGAACTCCTCGTGTCCCGGGACCCACGCCTCTCAGTCGCCATCATCCTCATGAAGCTCCCGATCGACACCAAAACCGGTTCATCCCCCGAGAAAACCTCCCCCGACTCACGGATCCACTTCATCCATCTTCCCCCCGACGAATCTAGTTTTGCCACGTGGACCGAGTCGCCCAAATCCTTCGTCGCCCAATTTGTTACCAGCCAACGGGGACCCGTGAGGGACGCCGTGTCTAAATTAATTGAGACGAAACCGAGACGGCTCGCGGGCTTCGTTGTCGACATGTTCTGCACGGCCATGGTCGACGTGGCCCACGAGCTCGGCGTCCCGTCGTACGTTTTCTTCACTAGCAGCGCCTCGTGCTTCGGCCTCTTTCTCCACCTCCAGGGACTCGTCGATTTCGAAAACCGAGACCTCAAGGAGTATGCGGAATCGGAAGAGACAGTCTCGATCT